GCTTTCTCTCCAAACATAGGGAAAAAATGTAATTTGAACCATTATAATTCTGGGTCTATCTGTGTATATGTATGTAGTGGAAATAATTATTCTGTTAATTTGTCTTTCTGTTATATAAAAAGCAAAGATAGCCCTATACCTTGAACCTCATGACTAGCATCCAAAATTGATGGACTTAAATGAGGTGAAACAACTTAAAAGCTACTTGAAAAAGAAAATCTATTTTATAATGATCACATGGTTCTCTCTCTAATCTTGTTTAAATGTAACAAAAGCAAGCCTTTGCTACTAACAGCAAACAGAAATATCAGTCAGCACCTAAGATCCAAGCACTTTGGGAGGCTGCAGCAGAAAAATCACAAGTTCAAACTCAGAGTATTGAAAAAAAATAAAACAAAACACTGAAATTCTCATCTGGTCCAGTGTTGCTTCAGCATTTAGGTGAAAAGATTATAATAGGAGCCAAGGTTGTCTAAATATCTGCAATGAAATTAGAGTATGTACTACAGTGGTACCTTGGTTTACAAACAATTCGATTTATGACTCTGGAGAAGGTAGCTGCATTTGCACTTGTGTTTGTGTTTGTGTGGGGAAGATGACCATGGTCATGTTTGCAAACAAAAGCCATCCTGAACTGAGGTATCACTATATAGGCATTGGTTTTCATCTGAGTCGAACAGCACCTTAAACAAGAGGGCAGTGGTATGGGGAAAAACGAGAACCTGTAATGTAAAGGAACAAGAGCCCAATGATGAATGTAACTGTACCGTATACCTAAAAAGTACCAATCAACTCAGTGAGAAAAGAAAAGAGTAAAAGAGGATTATTTGGGAAGCAGCACTGGAAAGTGGAAAGACTTCTGTTGGTTGCTTCAAAACAAGAAATCCTAGGATGAATGAAGTCATAAAATATTGTCAACAGAGTGGTAGTCAATCCTTGCTGAAATGGAGGTATATCAGGAGGTATTTTAATGATCTATGAAGTAAAATGAAAATATTATTATATTTCCCAAAGATTTAGTTTATACACACTACTGGATAAAACAATATCCTCTGTAGCATTTTTGTTAGATACTCATTCATTAAAATTTTATGTGATGGCATGGCTAACAACAGAAAATAGAAACTTTCTTCTTAAAATTTTAGGAGTACTTTCTCATTATTTTGGAAGTTACTTAGGGTGGAACAATTATAGTCAAGTTAGTGAAAGCACATCAAATTCCAGATGATAATCTTTAATATTCCTAAGAATACATTCTTATGATAAAATATTTAATTATATTTTCCTGTCTCCCAAGCACTAAATTCTAAGGGTTTCAAAGATACAAGGGATCCTTGAGTTATAACTTGCCTGACATATAAACAACTTAGGTTACAACCAGAATTTTACTATTAACTTTTGACTAAAGTCAAATTACGGCCTGAATACTGGCCACTTGTACTTCCAGTTGGTCTCAGATACAGATTTAACCCTTAAAAAGTTCTGGAAGAAACATTACAACATCCTTTCCCATGTGGGGTTAATTGCAAAATCCTGGGCCGAAGTCTCTAAGGACACTGAAATCTGCATGTGTACAAGAGAGAAGTTTTGAAGTCAGTGTAGAGGAGCCTGAGCCTTCAGTTAATTAACTTGAGTTACAACCAGCCCTTGTGAACAAATTGAGTTCATAAATCAAGGGTCCACCCTAATAATTCAATTAACTGTTTGAACACCTCTTTAAATCAGGTACTATTACCTTATTTTGTAGATCATATAGCTGACATTAATTTGCCCAAATTATACTTGACTAATGTAGAATTATAAATCTCTCAATCTATCAAGTAGTAGTTGTTACTACTTAAAATGAAGCATAGTGTGGATCAAGGGAACTCCACATACCAGTATCTCACAATTATACTTTCAGAGGAGATATAAAGTATTAAGTAATTTGTATATATAGAAAATTGTTAGAAAAATGGAATTAACTTAGTAGTGTCATTATAATGTCAATGTATATGGCATGCTTTATGAATTAAACATAAAATTTTAATTATAATATTCACAAAAATAAAGTGTTCTAGAAAGTATTAGTAAAATAAGACCACTAATTTTAACCGGACTTTCTGATAACCAAATTGGAAAGCCCTGCTCAGCATGTTCCCCTGCATGTCTGTTTTGTATTCTTAATAGTTCTGTAACTAGACTATTGCTCACTGCCAAACTCTCTAATTTGTTCCAAATTATCACAATTAAAGAAGGAGCTTTAAAGCTTTCCCATGGCACAAAAGCTGCATTTGGTTTCATAGGATTTTGCTTTGGCATTTTAAAATTAGATAGTATTAGGGTATTTCTTCCCTATGAAAAAGTAAAACTACAATAATTACTCAACTACTGTAAAGCTATATTTAAGAATTTTTTCTAATCTTGACTTAGACTTGCAATTTTGTCACAAACTTCACTAAGAAATTAATATTTTCAATTTCCATTTGACATGAATGCAAAAGATACCATTATATTGCATTTCTAAATAAAAATGTCTATTGAAAATATTCCATTTTATACATTAAGAAATCAAAATTTAAAATAACATTAATCTCTATTCATGAGTAATATTTAAAACTCATTTGTTTAGATTAAGAATTTCATAACCATATATATATATATATATTAATTTGATCAGTGAATTCACCTATAAAAGTTGTAATTAGGAAATAGAATATGGCATATTGCATATTCAAATATATATATACATATATTTATATATATATATATTGTACATAAAAGTCTCATTTATTCCTCACAAAAGTAAGAGTAAATGAAGTGTACAAAAATAGGTTAATAAAGTTAAATGAATTATCTTTTATGCACTACAGGGACATTATAAAAAGTAATAGTTTTGCTTTTATAGAATGTTACAGTATGAGAAATTACTCATATATTTAAAAGAAAGTAGGCACTGTTATACTCATCAAAACACTAATATTAAACATATATATTTGTTTTTAAAAGAAATATAAAAACATGAGCAATGACATATGTTAATTATACGATTAATGGATTTTTTCTTTTAAATCTATGTTCTCTCATTTCAAAACCTTTGAATATTCATTAATTTAATAATTAAAAAGTATTTTAAAAATTCCAAAATTATTCAATAGTTTTATATATCACTTTTCTCTATATACTGTTTATAGAAAAGCATTAGACTTTAGTATTAAAAACATCAATCCCTGCTTATTTATACCTAAAATATGCAGTTATGCCTCACAATTTTAATATTTTACTTCTAATGTTTTAAAGGCATGTATTGTCCTGACATAGATTATTAAAAATTACCTTTGAATCATTATAGTTTTGTCGGTATCCATAATTGCCAGATTCTGAATTTCACAAGCTACTCTTGTAAAACACGAACCATTAAATTTCAGAATATGAGAGAGTCAAATCTGGTTAGGTTTGGGATTTTTATTTCTGTCACTAAATACATGATATTGGGTGAATTAAGGGCACTTTCTAAACCAAGGTGAATTTGGAATAATTTAAAAATCTGTTATATAATATTTTATGTGTAAGACAAAAAATAGTTCCTATATTAGTCAGTGTTCACAAGAGTCATAGAACCAATAGGATAGACATATCTTGTATATGTTGAAAGAGTTTTATTTGAAGGACTTATCTCGTGAAATTTTGGAGATCTGGTAAATACAAACTCTTATGAAGAAAGTCTTCAGGTAGGAGATTCAAAACGGACTTACTCTTTTGAGTCTAACAGCAATCTGAGTAGAGGCACAAGAGGAATAAAGATTGTCATTGAAGTCTGCAGGAAGTAGGCTGGCAGAAGTTCCTCTTACTGGGGGAGTATGCCTTTTCTACTATGTAGGCACTTAACTAAAAAAGTGATTCTGGAGGCAATCTGCTTTAGTCGACATCGACCAATTTAAAATGGATTTCACCACAGAACACTCATAAAGATGCCCCAGATAATGTTTGAACACAGAAATGGGCAATATGGCAAATTCCACGTTGAGACTTGAAATTAACCATCACATGTTTTACATAGCATGATTCCTAGTATTAAACTGTATTTATAGCGAACATTAGCTTGCAAAATCATTTATTGGTTAGATTTAAAATCTGTGCTGCTTCAATAACATATTTTAAATTGTACAGAGATGTTACAACTTTCCCTTAAATATTGTCAGTTTAAAGAACTAAATAGAATTAAGAAAAACTATGGATTTATTTTACACATTACTTCTCTTAACATTTTCCATGAACATTTTTTTACTGAATGTCAAAAGAAAAGACACATAAATAATTAATGTACAAAGCCATTTTTGATCGTGAGTTTTAGTTTTTCTAAGAACTTATTGCTGGCAATTTCATTTGGAATTTCTGCTTACTCATCAATATTGTCCTCGATAATAAATAATGAGTATCCTTTTCAAGAGATTTCATTTCTTTTACAGCAGTTTTGGTTTTGATGTGTCAGATGTCCTGCCAGCTATTTGTTGCTGAATCCTGCAGTTCAGTATATTGCGAAACCCACTTGCAGTTTTTATTTTTGAAATATTTACAATTGAAACAGTATGCCCCTTAGGCAGGTTGCTTTCTATTTCTGAAACAAAGTGCCTTCCAAAAATTCTTGCTCACCATAATTGTGAGGAACACCTATTTCCAACCAGAAGTGATTTTTTTTCTGTGTGTGTGCCTGTAACCTACTGGTGTGTATCTTCTACTGTTTCCCTAAAAAGCTGTTTATGAGATATAAATTTTCTAAATATTTACATGTGAAATTCTTTACTCTATTTTCACACATTTCAATAATTTGGCAGACTTACACTCTAGGTGGGAAATAGTCTCTCACTATGTTAAAAAAAAAAAGCTCTATTGCTCTACAGCTTCTTGTGTTTTTGAGTCTCCAAATAATTCATATTTTTGTTCCATTGTTATCTTTTTCTTTTTTTATTTCCCCCACTCACTTGTAACCCTTTCTCAATATGATAAGATCTTCTCATCATTTCAGTTGCTATCAAATTCTTGAGTCACAAGTCTTGATTACGCAGAGATGTTAATCACATACCATGCAAACTGCAATCACCATGATCTATCTGCCCTCCAAAAGGAGGGACAGGTAAGGATTATCCCACCTGATAATAGTTGATGTTTAAGCTTTTTTTTCTGAGCATTGAACTCAGGTCTTTGCCTAATAAATAGGAATCAATTTAACAAAGGAAGCAAGAGACATTTACATTGAGAACTACAGCACTCTAAAAAAAGAGATTGAAGGAGATATAATAAAATTGAAAGACATTCCTTGTTCCTGGGTAGGAAGAACCAGTATAGTGAAAATGGCCATACTTCCAAAACTACTCTACAGAATCAATGCAATTCCAATTGAAATCCCAACAGTATATTTCACAGAGCTAGAGAAAACAATCTAAAAATTCATTTAGAATCAGAAAAGACACAGAATAACAAAAAAATTCTAGACAACAGAGACATGTCAGGGAGTATCACAACCCCCAACCTAAAACTATACTACAAAACCACTGTGAGAAAAACAGCATGGTATAGGCAAAGAAACAAACCTAAGGATCAGTGGAATTGATTAGAAGATGCAAAAATAACTCCAGATAAACTCTGCTACCTCATCTTTGACTAAGGAGCCAACCATTCTCCTGGAGGAAAGATAGCCTATTTAATAAATGATGTTGGCAAAACTGGATTTCAACTTGCAAAAGATTAAGACTAGAACCCCATCTTTCACCATACACTAAACTAAAATACAAGTGGATTAAAACAGAAACACTAAACATGCTGAAGATAAGTTAGGCAGAACTCTTGAAGATATTGGCAGAAGAAAAGACTTTATAAACCAATCCCAGTAGTGTAGGATCTAGCAAAACAACAAAAACAACAACAACAAAAAAACCAATTGGGGTCTCATTTTTTAAAAAGCTTCTGCACCGCAAAAGAAATGACCAGCAAAGCTGAAAGACACCCACAAGTTGGGAAAAATTTTTTACCAGTTGTTCCTCAGACAAAGGTCTACCTTCTAGAATATACAAAGAAATAAAAAAAAATCATAACCCTCAAATAAAAAGACACAATTCAAAAATGGGCATCTGAAATGAATAGACATTTCTCAACAAAAGAAGTAAAAGTGGAAAATAAACGTATGAAAAAATGTTCAATATCACTGGTCATTCAAGTGATCCAGATTAAAACAACACTGAGATTCCACTTCATCCCAGAAAGAATGGCTGCTGTCAAGAAATCAACCAATAACAAATGCTGACAGGGTTGAGAGAAAAAAGGAACCCTTCTCCATTGTTGGTGGGAGTGCAGACTTGTGCAACACTGTGGAAATCAATATGGAGATACCTCAAACAACTAGGATTAAAGGTCCCATTTGACCCAACTCTTCCTCTCCTGGGTATATTCCCAAAATAATTAAAAGAATCATATCACAGTGATATATGTTCACTCACGTTTATAGCAGCACAGTTTGTAATTGCTAAATCTTGGAAGCAGCCCAATTGCCCATCAAGTAGACTGGATAAAGAAAATGTGTTATGTTTTGTTTTTTTTATAAAATAGAGTAATAGCCATATAGAATGAGAAACTTGAGACGTCTATAGCTAAGTGGATGAACATTGTTGTTACTGAACTGAAATTGGAAATCAATGGCAAAATAAACCACAAAAACTACATAAACACATGGAAATTAAGAACTACCCTCCTGAACAACCAATACGTCACAGATGAAATTAAAGAAGAAATTAGTCTCTATAATTAAATGATAATAACAAAAAATATACTGGAATTTATGGGACAAAATTTATAGCAGTGAATTTCCACATCAGGAAAACAGAACAAGCTCAAACAACCTAATATTTAATCTCAATCTTCTAGAAAAGGAAGTACCAGTCAAGCTCAAAACTTGTATGAGGGAGGAAATTATAGAGATCAGATCAGAAACTAATGCAATTAACACTAAGAAGACAATACCAAGAATCAATGAATTGAAGGGTCTGTTCTTTGAAAAGGTAAATAAAATTGACAAACTCCTAGCCAATCTTGTCAAAAAAGAAAGAAATCTCAAATCTGTGAAACTAAGAATCACAATAGACTCTTCAGAAATCCAGAAGATCATCAAACCCTACTTTGAGAAACTTTTTTCTAATAAGATGGAAAACTCAGAAGTAATAGATAAATGCCTAGCTATATTTATGAATTACCAAAGCTAGATCAAGAAGACATAATAAATGAATATTATTGAAGATGAAATTGAAGATGTAATTAAAATCCTATCAACAAAGAAAAGTCCAGGTCCTATAGGATTCACTGCTACATTCTACAAGAAATTGAGAGAAAATTGAATACCACTATTCCCCAAACTCTGTAATGAAATTGAAAGGGAACCCATACTTCCAAAGTCATTTCTGGAAGTAAACATTACCCTGATACAAAAACCAAATAAGAATCCAACCAGAAAAGATAATTACAGGCCAATCTCACTAATGAACATAGATGCAAAAATCTTTACTAAGATATTAACCATCACATTGCAGAAAATCAAGAGTATACACAATGACCGAGTAGGATTAATCCCAGGGGTGCAGGGATGGTTCAACATATGCAAATAAATAAATGTAATGCAACAAATCATCAGAGCCAAGTAAAAAAAAAAAATCACATGATAGTCTCAAGAGACATAGAAAAAGCATTTGACATAGTTTAACATTAATTCATGATAAAAACCCTAAAAATAATTGGAATAGTCTCTATCTCAATATGATAAAATTCATCTATGACAAACCAACAGCCAATGTCATAATAAATGGACAAAAATTGAACACGTTCACTCTAAAACCAGGAAAAAAAAAGATAACCACTATCACCACTCCTGTTTAATGTAGTCTTGGAAACATTAGCCAGAGAAATTATACAAGAGAAATAAATAAAAGGAATAAAGATAGGAAAGGAAGAAGTTAAAACTATTTGCAGATGACATGACACTCAATATAGAAGACCTCCAAAACTCCACAAAAAGACTTCTAGATTCAATAAATAAATTCAATCATGTAGCTGGATTCAAAAACAAAACTAAAAAAGCAATAACCTTCTTGTACACGAATAACAAATTTACTGAGAGAGAAATTAGGAAAACAACACCTTTCACAATAGCATCCTAAAATGAACTACCTAGGAATCAATCTAACAAAGGAATCAAAAGACCTGTACATTGAAAACTGAAGTACTCAGAAAAAGATCAAGGACGATATTGGAAAATGGAAAGTTATTCCTTGCTTTTGGGTAAGGAAGAACCAATAAAGTGAAAATGGCCATATTTCCCAAATTGTTATGAGATTTAATGCAATATAAATCAAAATATCAATAACATAAATCAGAGAACTAGAGAACATAATCCTAAAATTTATTTTGAACCAAAAGAGACCTAGAATAGCAAAACCAATTCTGGGCAAGGCAGGGGCATCACAATCCCTGACTTGAAATTATACTACAAAGGAACTGTGATAAAAACAACATGGTACTGGGAGAGGGAAGGAGGGACCCACTGATCTATGGAATACATTAGAAAATGCAGAAACAACTTCAAACATGCTCAGCTACTTTATCTTTGACAAAGGTGACAGACACGTTAATTGGAAGAAAAATAGCCTCTTCAATAAAGAGTGCTGGAAAATTGGCTTTCCAAATGTTGAAGATTAAAATTAGACCCATATCTGTCACCATGCACTAAACAAAAATCAAAATGGATCAAAGATCTCAGTGAAATAGAAACACTAAATGTTCTGGAAGATTGAATAGGTAGAACTCTTGAAGACATAGGTGTAAGCAAAGACTTTTTGAACAAAATCTTGATTGCACAAGAAATATTACAAAGAATCAACAACTAAGATCTCATCACATTAAAAAGCTTTTGCACAGAAAGAAATTATCAACAAAATGAATAGACAACACACAGAGTGGGAAAAATATTTTTAGCTGTTCCTCAGACAAAAATGCATCATAAAGATATCAAGATGATCAAAATATATCATGTATAGGCACAAATACCTTATGATAAATGTTATCACTACGTGAATCTAAAAGGTACTAATAAAATTAACTCATTTGAAATAAATAAAATGTATGTAATACTGCTGTATCAGTTGAAACCAAATTTTAAAAGCCTAAGTGCATTTATTATAAAAAAGGAGCAATAGTACTAAGTTAGTTATTTAAGCTCCTAACATCACCTAAAAAATGCAAAATAAAATCAAAGCAAGCAGCAAACAATAATCTGATCTAATTAAAACTGATTTAAAAGTCAAAATTTTAATTTTTGTAAAATCAATAAAGTTAACAAAATTCTAGTGAGAAGATGAAGAACATAAAGACAAAATTTTTAAATTCAATCATGAAATAGGAAATATTACCATAGTCCTTATTAACATAGTCCTTATAGACAACACTGTGCTAATCACAAACACTATGAGTAAATCCAAACTCATAAGTATTATGACTTAAGAGAAAAAGACAGATTTCTAAAAAATTGAACCGTACTATAAAGTATCTAGAATAAATAAAACAATTTGCATAGCACTGTAAGAATTAAGAAATTTGACCCTAATTTAAAACATGCCTAAAAAGAATTATGTAGTATATATTCAATAATGATAATGTATATATTTGATAAACATACATGTTCAATGAAACATGTTAGTTCAGAGTTCAACAGTCCAGTGAAAAAAACTTTAAAGATTTTTCAACAAATCTTTTTACAGCACTTGAACAATCATAGGCAAAAACAAAACAGAGAAAAAGCACATCTCTTATTGATCTGACTCGACATATTTTTTATTCACTCCCACCATGAAATATTAATAACTCAAGGAACAGACCACTGATGTAGCCAATTACCTAGATCAATCTCGGAAAATTACGATGAAATAAGAACAATACCAAATGATGTTGTACAATTCTATTATATAGCATAAAATAACAAAAATAATAAAAGTGGAGAAAAGAATAGTGGTTGCCAGTTTTTGTGAGTTATGGGAGAGGAAGAAAACTGTGCTCATAAGAGGTCAATGTCAGGTTCCTTGTAAAGATGTGCTTTGTATCTTGGCTTTATCAATATTCTG